CAGGGGGATGTGGCATTCGTTGTTTTTCTTATTTTGACGGGGGACTGTTTGCTAGTATGCGGCGGCCACCAAACTGCCGGGCAATCTCTCTACGCTTGGGTATTTGTTCCCTTTCGTTGTTGCGACTTTCCTGTGGCAATTATCAGACTCCCACATTTATATGCATATGACTGCTGCATGACCCTTGAACCAGGAAACTAAAGTCCGTCAAAATCTTCAACACTAAAGTCCGTCGAAATGTCCAAAAAAAACAAAAAACAACGAAAGAGGTTGTCGGCACTCCGCGACGGTCAAATTGGCATCACCGCGAAGCATATGAAGTATGATTACTTGCTTCTAAAATAGCCGAAAACCTCCTCAGACTCTTGTCCACAATCGAGACTCCATCTCACCAACATGTTGTTCTGTGACTGTTAATAGTGTACACAAGCCAACACACACAGCGGATAATGGACTCACCGATCCCCCAGCTTCGTGGAACTCGTCGGCTATCATCTGCAGCTCGAGGCACAGCGTTTCCACGGAGAGCACGAAGCTCGCCTTGTGCGACAGCAGCTCTTGCGACAGCACCGACATCTTGTCCTGAGAAAACAAAGAACAAGAAAAAGCGAAGGGAAGGGAAGGGAATGAGAGAAAAGAAAGGGAGTGGGCATTCAAGACAAACAAAAAGTGCTTATGAGGTCGGACACACGACACAAAAAAAAAAACTTCAAACATTACACGGGAGAACCTCCCAAAAAAATTACCGGTTTCGAGGAACAGGATTGGGGGACATCATCGTGCCGCACACAAGCCGACACACAAAACCATACAACACACCTCGAGCAACGGTGGGGTATCACCCGGCCGTTGTGGGCCCAGAAGAAAGAATGACTTGTGTCGACCATCGCGATCGCAACCCTCAAGATTCAAAAGCGGGTTGGGGTAAAAGTGCCAAACGACAAGACATATTCGTACACCTCCACCACAACCACCCCCACCCAGCAGCACGTGCACGTACAGGTACCCCCCCCTCCCTTTTTCTCTTTTCCGTTGCGACAACATTTCGCAAACGCCGGTAGGTCACGCTGTCCAAATGATCACTTCTCTGAAGAAAATATTTTAGAAATATGCATCACAATGTCAACTGCTCACGGCGTGCTGAAGTCGTATGTAGGCATGTTCACTATCATACTGGAGCCATAAACTCGGGTGGGGGGGGGGAGTACACATAGTCGTGCATGCCGT